TTGATCGGCTTGGATCAATTTGTATTGGTGTTAGTGATATATGTGTATTCGTGTATTCTAGATATCCAGAATATGCAGGAACCGCGGCGATATGCGTTTTGTGAGGATTTGAGGCTGTTGGAGGTGCTGTGCGAAGCTTGTGAATCTCTTGAAGGTTTAACTTTGAAATTCCTGCGGAACTTCTCGGAAAGCTTCGGAGCTCGAACATAAGAAACCCAGGCCGAAAACTCACCTTTCACGTCACGTACATCAAGATTTCACAGCCCAAAACTCCACTTTTACGTCACGCAGATTTGGGCATAATTTGGCAAAAAAACCACTTTTAGGTCACGCACATAGGCAGGTTTTGCCCCCAAAAAATCCCCTTTTACGTCACCCACCTCCATAGGGGTATTCCAGGGTCCTGTGTTTATGATTTCTTCTTCACACCCTCGAATAAAAATATAATCATTGAAATGATCATATATCGTTTAAAATTTTGAACTTTGAAATTTCAATCGAGAGGAAGAGCGACAAAAAGAATTGCACACCTGGAATTGAATCCAAGTGTATATGGCAGTCCTGCATCTGATCCTGGACTACGAGTGCTAACCATAGCACAATATCGCTTTGAGAAGATCGTACTTGACAAGGTATATACAGTCAAACCGGAAAAGCTTGCCACCAATTCCCCGCCAATTTGCTCGAGTTTTGCGGGCAAAATCGGTCAATACCATAAAGGCCTGAATTGAAGTGTAAGCACTTGCGAGCCGAAGGTCGGACCAGTTCAATTGGGAGTTCGACAGCTGTCACACCGCGGGAATCAATGGGTATGAAACCCGATTGAAGAAATTTGCGGTGACAGAGTCCGCAACTTTCTCCAATCACGGGTCTCGTTCGCATGACGTTCGCATTACGTTCGCGGGCCGCCCTCTAGTACACCCTGATTCATCATTCAACATCAGGCATTCACCACCACTTCGATTATCATCGACTCACCTCAATTCTTCTCGATAACAAAGATCAATTCTTCTAAATGACAATCAATATTTTGATGTTTCACAATATATTGCCTCAAGAGAAAATCATGACCCTTTGAGATTAGACCCTTTTGTTTAACACATTTGCTATCAAATTTGATCAAACCTCAAAGTGATCTTTTTATCTTTTGATTCTTTGGGTTGAACGTATTATGCCAAGCACAAGTCTCTTACACCAAATCGGCATGGAGCTACATCGCTTTTGACGACCTTCCAAAACTTTTATTTGAGGGAGTCCAAATAAACATCTTCAATGAGACAGCTTCATGATGCCAAATGTGGCGTATAGAGGAAGGGTAAAGCAAAAGTAGAAAGAAGATAATACAAATGAGACTGTGAATGATCAGTTAAGAATGGTTGACAAAAAAGAATGTTTTATGGAGATAAACCAGGAATGTGGTCAAGAAGAATTGCTGACTTGAGTCTGGTTTTTTTTCATGATTGTGAGTGCGATGTGGAGGTGGAAACATTTGAAATTCACTCTACTTCACTCAAATTGATTGTGATTTTCTCTTACATGATGGAAAAACACTACATTGGGGTTATACACTTTCTCCAACAAGAGTAATGCGCACATCGGAAGATAATCAGTAGCTCTAACCAAAAAAATCACGTATGAACAAACACAATGAAGATATCAAACTTTATCAAACAGATGTGATGCAGGTTAAGTGTTAAATCTCGCATATGGTTTCATAGACCGAGGTGGTTGATGTTTGTTATCGAGAAGAATTGAGATGGGTCGACGATAATCGAAGTGGTGGTGAATGCCGGATGTTGAATGATGAGTCAGGGTGAACTAGAGGGCGGCCAGCAAACGTAATGTGAACGTATTGCGAACCAGACCCGTGATTCGAGAAAGTTGCGGACTCTGTCACCGCAACTTTCTTCAATCGGGTTTCATACCCATTGATTCCCGCGGTGTCAATACAGCTGGCTTGTATACGCAATGAACATCAACAAAGTTTGAGTCAGACACCGAGTTTTGAACGAGTTTTGGCCTGGCAAGTTAAAATCGGGCATCACACATACATCGAAAAATTGCCGATAGTTCTCACAACGGCTGTAATCCAATTTTGTGAAGCGGATGTGATAAATTGTGAAAACCGGGTGATTTGAACTCTGTTGAATATGATAACTTCAGATTTTGAATACATACTGAAATTGGGATACATATTTGACTTTCAGGAATCGGATCTTGAGTTTAAAAAGTTTCAAAATCTCAGACATAAATATCATTTTTCCATTTCAGCCGCCTTCATTTGTTCGAGGTCTCAAATTCTTTACTTGCCCATCATCGAACTTTACAATGGAGACAGGTCATTCCACCTTGTCGAACCGAATGACCTCAGGAGATCTTCAACAAAAGTCATCATCTCTATTTGCTTGGTGCGACTTTCGTCCGGCTCCTCTGCTGCAAAACACATCCAGTACTGCTAGGTAAGATATCCTAAATGTATCAGATCTACCTCTCAAACTGGATTGAAAATTTACATCGCGTGTCTTCATTACTTCACTCTCCTCGATCTGTTTCTGTGAACATTTTATTGATACTCAGAGATCATCTCGCCAATGAAAGAACCTATTTGGCTTGGATGCGAACCTCTTTGGGATTTACTACTGTGGGGATCGGTAAGAAGACGATCTCATTGACTATTGCCTCAGCAGAATCAATTTGACTGGAGCGTCGATTGAGATGAATCTTTCTAGCAATCACCCAAATATTTAAAACCCCTCAACCTGCCCAACCCGGGAGTGAAGCTATCACTATTTCTCCACCTGTGCTTAACAATACTCGCGGTCTCACTACGGATCAAATCTTAGAGCAATTAGTACTACAGGTTCAACAACAAGCTCTAGCACTTGATAGCTACGCAAGAACCGGAACCAGTAGCAATGATTCTCAGGTCGGCATTGGGATTGGAGTGACCTTTATGTGTATTGGAATACTGTTCTTAGTAGTAGGTACGAAATGCGAAGCCAGGAGTGGTTTCGACTGTTCAATTACTCATCATTCTTTCATAGCATACATCTTACACAGCACTCTACTCACCACTTTCCATATTTCCAAAAATTAGGTACTCATCGTTATTTTCGAGTTCAGACCGTCTTGCAAACAGGACAATTCCCTCACAGTCGCCGTTCGGTCACCTTCTTGTCTTTTTTCGTTCTCGGTTTACTTACCTCAACAATGGCCTGTATAATACGTTTTCACGGAAATCCCAAATGAATGTGAAGGACAAGGAAAAGGCAGCGATGTATACAGATCAAATTATCATTCTCAAGCATGACGCGTCTGCGTCGATACTGATTGTTATTCTCATCCCATATATTTCTTTTCGTATTCGACTATAAAGTATGTTTTAGACTTACAGTTTCTTTTTTCGGATGTTTATGCTTCTTGTTATTCTTCTCCAACAGCATTTCTTGTAATTGTGATAGATCAAGCATTCATTATCTTCCATGATAGGTGTGAAATATGCGCGTAGTAGCCAATGAAGTCATTCATCAAACCTCATATATCGGTTGATTCTATTCAGAACCAGATGAGCTGAGGCGTGTGATGTCAAAATTCGAAAAATTTCTCAAACCTCATGAACCAGTTATATCCATTCAGAGCTGAATGAGGCTACATACGTTGGAGAGGTTCTGACAGCAGATACAGCGATTCCTAACAATGTATTCCATCCAAATCATCAGGCAATCATCATTCAATGACCCTCACAAAGATTCACATGTCTGTATAGTCATTTTCAACAAGGATGCCTTGGAGGTGATGTTCTAGCAATCGATCACATGCTCCCTTTAGGGTCAAAGGAAGGTATTGGACGGTCTGATGCCAGCCATGTTCACGATTTATAATACCATTCTAATCATAGAATCCATTCTTTTATGAGACATAATCTCTCTGCCTCTAGAATGAGACATTGCTCATCATCAGAACACGCTCACAAACAGTCTTGCTCAATCATGATGCCCATCCTCTTCAGAGGTATGTTTACTGAGATATTGGCAATTTTGTTTTTTGATGATCGAAGAACTTAGTCAAGGGAGGAGTTTGGGTACCTTTTGGGTTAGCTATTAGCTCATCCAGTATTTGCTACTCATGTGATGATAAAGTATACCTCTGTATGGAGATCATGATTTTTAGACTCAAAAATGGGTTCAGAAACTGAGCTTGTAGTGGCATTGGCAAGTTTTATTTTGTTTTGTATGCTTTGACAATCTGGGCTAGTCCTCAGAGCAGCCACGTCTAGTATAGAGACCTGAGTTATGATCATCAATGAAGATTTTTCACACATGTGAT